CGAGAGGAGAGGGAGGCAGAGAAAAATGGGAGGGAAAATGAAAATGAAACTAAAGTAGCCAGAGCTGAAAACCCTAAAAATTAAAACCTAAAAGTAAAACTTGGTTTTTTTTACTATATATTTCGGTCAGTTTGGTCGGTCGGTTATAGGGGTTTAAGGCCCGCTGACCGACCGACCGAAAATTTGGGAATCTCCAAAACCGACAGTCAACCGATGGGGACCAAAACCAACCGAACCGACGTCGGTTCGGTTTTGGGTAGTCAATTGTACACCCCTACAAGCAATCACATATTCCTAAGAGAATTTACCTATTAACATGTCTCAATCCATAATTTACGGACTTTCCTTACCTCTTTATTTTGATGTGTATTTTATTAAATTAATTATTTGTGTTGGCTATTTCAGAAATTTCTATTCCCAAAATATATTTCAAACAATTTACTGTTAGATTATATTACCATTCAAGTCATTTCATTTTGATCCCTAAATTTTAATTATATCTCTTAAAAAAACTTGTACTATTACTATATATTAATAGTTTTTTTAGGTGACATGTTTTCTTTAGATGATATATATTTATTTTAGTACAATGTTTTCTTTAGATGAGATTTAAAGAAGGAAAGAAAAATAAGCTAATTAGGTTTATTATAATTGAGGTATAAGTGGTAAATTATCTTATTGTATTAGGTTGACTGTATTCGCATTTGATTGGGTAAAAAAAAAAGAAGAAGAAGAAGAAGAAGAGGAGGGGTTGATGGATTAAATTAGTTGAAATCTCGATGCAACCAATTTATGCACAGTTTGAAAACAATTTCATTTTTTGTTTTTTTTTTTAAATTAAGTTTAGAAAATATTATTTTCACTTCTATGTTTCTTTATATTATCATATAGTTTTTATAAACATGTTCAAAATTTAGGTTAAATTTTGAAAAAAAAAGTAGTTTTAAAAAACTAATTTTTATTTTTAAAATTTGACTAAGAATTCGAATCAAATTGTAACAAAACGAACGATATAGGTTTTAGAAATAAAAAACAAAAAACAAAAGGATTATCAATCATATGCACCTTAATTAGCATACTTATTTAAAAAAAATTAATTTATTGCATAACAACAAGGTCATTTTTAGGAGATGTAAAGAAGTTATAAGGACCAAATTGAAACCAAACGCAAACGATAACAAGTATAATATAATATGATCATAAATAATATAAGGTTTAAATTTCATTTTGGTCTTTCTGAACGTTGATGTTGGTTTCATTTTATTTCATAAACTTTTAAAATGTTTATTTTAGTTCATAAATTTTAGAAAAATAACTGTTTTGATCCTTACATTTACTTTTCTGTTAGGAAATTGATAACATGGTTTTGAATATTTATATTAACATAACAATGTGAACATGAAATATGTCGAAGATGAGTACTAGATAGGTGAACGTTACATGAAAAAATAACGTTCCAAGACTAAATATTAAAATATATATTTTGAGAAGTTTAAAACTATAATACATTTTTTTTTTTTAAATAAACAGGTTTTAAAATTAAATATTTTGACATTTCAGAACATTCAAACCATAAATTGGATAAATATAGATTTTAAAATAAAACAATCATAGCATTTACAACTGTTTCCTAAAAGGGGAAAAATTAGTGTTGCACTAATTGCTGCTTATAGACTACGATTAATTATCGCCACACAGCAATAATTCAACGCACTCCTGCATAAACACTCATTAATATAAATATAATTAATTATCCTAAAAAATATATAAATATAATTAATTACAAAGGCATATTAATTACACTAAATGTTCCATAAAGACAGAGATAATTGTTGGCTTCACGTGGATAAAGTTAAAACATATTTTTTATCCCAAATATAATAACTTAATCCTCAAATTTTAATTTGTAATAATTTAATTCTTGCACTTTCTAATGGATAATAGTTTAGTCATTCAATTTTAACATATAACAATTTTATCCATGTACCATGAAAATTTCATTAAAATTAAGTGTCAATTTTTATTAGGTAACAATGTAGTTTTTTTGGCCTACTTATTAGTTTATTGATTTACATATTATAGTGAAATCTCATTAAATCTAACAACATTTTTACTATACATACTAAATTGTTACTAATTTTAACATACATGGATTAAAATGTAATTTCCTCAAAAAATCTAGAGATTAAATTATTACAAATTTGGAAGTATAAGAATTAATACCGGAATAGAAGTACATAGACCAAAAACATTTTTGAAGCTGTGAGATAATTAACTTCCTTAAATTAGAAACTTATAAATTACTCGTTTAATATATAAGTGTACCGAGCTTGTATTCTTGTCCTTATTGAATTATAAAATAATAGGAAATTTGATACTAGTTAGGTAGGATAGAAAGATGAGTTAAAAAAAATATTTATTTAAAAACTTGTTATGAAATAAATGTATTTAAAGTAGTGGTATGTTTAGTTACATTTTCTTAAAAGTGATTTTAATATCACAAATTTATTTGATTGTATTACCTCTATAAATAAGTTTAGAAATGTCAAATTATTATTATTTATAAAGTAATTACAATTTATGGTCAAACACTTTTGGGAATAATCAACTTTAAAATAATTTATTAAAAAATAATCATAAACCAATTTAATTATCGCAAAAATGATCTATATTTGCTCAAACACTAAAGATTTATAAAAGAATATTTTTGCCCTTCCAAAACCACTTAGAAAATTAATTCAAATCCAATATAAAACACCTATTCTAAGTATAAATCGGATTAACATATGAACATATTTGCAGCATCAACACATTTGTCGATTGTCATTTTTTTTCTAATTTGGTCMTACTCTTATGAAATATAGTTTTAAATACATACTTGTATTTCTTACTTCAATTCATTTTAGTCTTTATATCTTTTAAGCGTCTATTTTTTTTATTCTTGTACTTTCAACTTTTATTAATTTTAGTTATTGTACTTTTAAAATGTCGTTGTTTTGGTCTATGTACTTTTAAAAAGTGATATGAGACCAAAACATATCTGTCAAAAGTACAAAGTAAGGGACCAAAATTGACGATTTGAAAGTACATATATTAAAATGAATCAAAATCAAAAGTATAAAAGACCAACAAAATATTAATAATAAAAAGTTGATTCATATTATGAACTTGCAAAAATCATTATTTTTAACTTACAATACTCTAACTTTTACAAATATTTTCGATTACATTACATGTTCCATTGTCGAGAAAATATTCCATAAGATATTTTCATAAAGTCAAAAAGATTTCAATAAATACGTTCCAACAGATCTAAATAATAATGTTAGGTATTAAAATGGAGCAACTTTATGTGTAATTAAACTTGTAGCTGGAGTGATTGAAAAAGATTTGATAGGTTAGGTGATCAAAATTAATGTGCAACTAGCATCACTCATCTATATATACATCTACGACCTATAAAATATTATTTATTAGTACTTTTGTTAAATAAAAGCAATTTAATAATATTATTAATTAAGCTTATAAATTTATTGGAACATTTATACTAATTTAGCATTTTATTTCTCATGGTCAAATTCTGCAGAAACTCTTTGAAAAAAAAAAACGCAAATCTGCAGAAACCAACTCAACTCGAGCATTTTTATTGGATTCGTAATTATTGCAAAATAAATATTGTCATCTTACATTCGAAAAAATCTGGATTTCCTGTACTTTCCAAATTTTAAATTACAAATGTGAAGTAACAAATATAGTAATTAAAGAAGTAAATTTTATATAAATAAATAGCAAAAAGCAAAATAATTGCTGAAAATTCGACAGTATATCTATACTCGGTAAAGAAATTATTAACATCAACAGATAATTTACTCACATATGCTCAACAAATAGATGAGTTTTAGATACTTATTTTTTTAATTTTAAAATAATTTTTGAAAAACTAAAAACAGAAAATTAAATTAGTTATGAAACAACCTTAAAACCAAAACTAAAAACAGGAAAATAAAATAGTTATCAAACAAGTCGTAACATAATCATTTTTTAAAAGTACAGGAATCAAAGTATAGTGATTAAAATTGTACTTAAATCTTAATTATAGCTAAAAAACAATTATTTTATGTCATAGAGATATTAATCAATAATTGTTGTATTATTTTAAACTATACTTAGCTGTTTTAAATTATTAATTCGTCTTTATTAATGACTTATACATCATAGTTGTTATTTATAGGACCGTGGTCATGCCCTCATGCTCTTTGGATTTTTTTTCCTATTAAGTCATTAGAAATTTGTATTTAATATTGTGTTTATGAAGCTGAGTGAAATATTATAAGTTATGGGTAGACTCTCGATTTATTCAGGATAACAATTTAGTTTTTATTTTTATTTTCTCTTCAAAATTATGCTTAGTTTTTATTTTTATTTTCTCTTTAAAATTATGCATGCATTTTTACAGTTTATTTAGTATATTTTTCAATTAGAAAAAAAGAAACAATTTCTTAAAAACTATTTATTTTAGTTTCTAAAATTTCACTTTAATTTTTTGAAACAACTAAAAAAAGGTAGATTACAAAATAAAATATATATAGATACAGACGTAGCGTTTTAGAAACTTTAACAAAAACAACCAATAAAAAAATGAAATGCTTATGGAATAGGTAGAGTATTAAAAATATATATATTAATTATGTGTTGGAAGAAAAAGTATTGATAAAATGATAAACATCATTATTTCATTAACAAATTTTAATGTTTAGTGAAAATAAAAACAAAATGAAGATGATGAATTGAAACTTCCACAGAAAATATGGATGAAATTAAAAGAAATAAAGCTATATATTTAGATTTTATATAATTTATTCACCATTTGCTTGTAAATGTTTAATATGAAAAAATTTAAATATTCGAAATAAGTTAATTATCATGACATTTTACAAACTAACTAATAAATCAAGTGTTGGGTTTGAAAACAAAATTTGTTGCCAAAGAATTAATAAAAAACAACAACCATCGTAATAGTTTTTCTATACTATCAAAATTACAACTTATAAAACAAAATAAATATAGCTCGATAATAATTAGTACTTGCTTCTACACGTGAGTTTGGATTCAAACTTTCATATTTTTAATTTATTGTACTAGAAAAAGAATCAAATTAAAAATAAATTAAAATTTTTTTAAGAACAAATCGAAAATCAGGGGCTAAAAACACGACATTGAAAGACAACCAACCAAACAGCACATGGAAGTGTTGACGTCGAGAAAGAAAAGGGAAAAAGAAAAAGAAAAAAAAAAGCACCGTCTTTTTTCCTCAGCGAGATTCTTTCTTCTGTGATACTATATAATAAGCAAGAGCGATAAAATTATCTGAAATCAACTTGGGTTTTCTCGTGAGCACACTGCCACTAGTCCTAGTTCCGCGTGCACTGTACCTTCTGCTCTCTCCATCCCTTTTTGAACAGATAAAATGGCATTGTACAATAAGAATTGAAATGCCCCATTTCCTTTGATTTGATCATCAGAGCAGCGCGAACCCACATCCAACCACCCCTCCTCGCCATTTCCCACTCTCGTTCTTCATGTTTCCTCCAAAGCTGAGTACCCATTTCCGTGGAAGTGGGTTTCTGCTTGCTGTGCTTCTGATTCCTCTCTGTTTCCCCATTTCCATGGCGGAGAAGGACGCTTGGAAGCCGAGTTCTGTGGGAATGGCGGAGAGCTCCGACCCTTTGAAGCTCACGTTCCATGGCCCCGCCAAGCACTGGACCGATGCGGTTCCTATTGGGAATGGGCGGCTTGGAGCAATGGTGTGGGGTGGTGTTGACGCCGAGATTCTTCAGCTCAATGGTTTTGCTTCTTGACCTCTTTTGACCATTTTTATTTTTCTTTTCGTTTGAACTGATTTGGGAAATTCAATTTGCTGTTTGGTTGCTGAGAAATCAGATGTGCGTGCGTGTGATTTCACGGCATTTTTCTGAGCGCGTTTTTCTTCTTCTTGCAATTACTCATTCTGGAATGTTTGATTTTATGAGAAAACCCATTATCCTGATTTTTCGTGATTGATGTTGAGTTTTACCAGAATTTGTCAACTTGCAATATAATATTTACTCATCGTTAAGTTACTTTAAACCCCTGCTACTGTTCTATTTCTTCACTGCTGATAGTTTTTTAAGCGGTTGGTTCAGCCAGATTGGTCTGAATAATAGCATTTTCTTCGACTGCGGAGTTTTTACCTATAGGCTGTGTTTTTGAATGGCTATGAAGTATATGGGAAAGGTGTAAAATATCCAGAGGTGTATATTCCCGTTCTGCCTGGACGGATCTGGTATCATAAGTCATTTCGTTTCGAATTTTTTGCGAAAATTATTTTTCGGGAATCTAGGCATGGTTTATACTGTTTCATGTCTATGTCATTGTTTCGTTTTAACTATGCATTCCGGAGGCTAATTAAAGTTCATGCAGAGGATACACTTTGGACCGGGACTCCTGTGGACTACACCAATCCAGATGCTCCTGAGGCTTTAGCAGAGGTTAGAAAGCTTGTTGATGATGGTAAATATGCCGAAGCTACTGCTGCCGCGGTCAAGCTGTCAGGAAAGCCGTCTGATGTAATACTTCTCAACCCCTCGTAATAAGATCTCGTAGTGCACAATGTGATAGAGTTTTAGTTGCTTATTATATTGAAAACTTGATAGAGTTTTAACTTTGAAGCAGTTTGTATGAGTTTTATTTCTCACAACCTTGTGATTATGAAGGTTTATCAACTTTTGGGCGACATCAAGCTTGAGTTTGATGAATCCCATCAGTCATACGCTCCAGAGACTTATCATCGAGAATTAGACTTGAATACAGCCACAGCAAGAGTGACGTACTCCGTGGGCGATGTAGAATTTACAAGGGAACATTTTGCTTCTAATCCTGATCAAGTAATTGTAATCAAGATCTCTGCGAGCAAACCAGGGTCTTTGTCATTTATAGTGTCCATGGATAGCAAGTTACATCACAGCTCGCATATAATAGATGGTCAAAGACAGATCGTGCTGCAAGGAAGTTGTCGAGGTGTGAGGATCCCTCCAAAAATGGATTTAGACGACAATCCCAAGGGAATCCAATATTCTGCAGTTCTTAGTTTAGAGGTTAGTGATGGGAGTGGAGTGGTACATGATTTGGATGAAAAGAAGTTAAAGGTTAATGGCTCAGATTGGGCAATCTTGCGTCTGGTGGCTTCATCTTCATTTAAAGGGCCATTTACAGAGCCTTCATTATCTGGTAAGGATCCTTCTGCAGAGTCTTTTGCTGCATTGAAGAAGATCAAAAACTTGTTGTATTCGGATCTTTATGCACGGCATTTGAATGACTATCAGAGTCTTTTTCATCGTGTTTCATTACATCTTTCAAAAAGCTCTAAGAATGGATCCTCTTCAACTAATTTTGGAGGAAAGGAAGTTAGAGCAGTTTCTACTGCAGAGAGGGTAAAATCTTTTAAGACTGATGAAGACCCATCATTGGTAGAGCTGCTATTCCAATATAGTCGGTATCTACTTATCTCTTGTTCACGGCCTGGAACTCAGGTGGCAAACCTTCAGGGTATATGGAACAAGAATATCGAACCGGCATGGGAGTAAGTTTCTGGTCTTAGTTTCTTTTATACTGCATTGCTTTTTATTTTCATCTAATGGGTTTTAGAAGTTAGATTTAAAAAAATTGTAGAAGACAATGAACTGATGAACCATAACTATTATCTCTCTCCACCAATAACGACGAATTGTGATAGCTTGTTTTTCTCGTATACGTTTTCGTCCCGAACTATTTTCTTAGATGCTCATCTGGTTCCCTTTGTTTTTCAATCAGTGGTGCCCCACACTTGAACATTAATCTCCAAATGAACTATTGGCCATCCCTTCCGTGCAACCTTAGGGAGTGCCAGGAGCCATTGTTTGATTTCACATCCTTTTTGTCTATCAATGGACGTAAGACCGCAAAAGTAAGCATCTCTGCCTTAAAATATTTATTTGATCTGTTCTGTACATATTGTTTTTAATAACTCTATTTTGGTTCTCTATGCTGATATCAGAAAAAAGATCAATAATCGAAATACACGGTCTTGTCTAAGGAGTTTCTTTTATGAAGTAACTAGAGAACAGCTAGTTAACGTGTCAAAAAGGGATTATATGTGATTTTAGGCTCTAAATATTTTCAGCCATACAATTCTAAATGTTAGTTAACATATGATGTGTATGGAAGATCAGTAGCCTAAAGGCCTCATTTTTGAGGGTTGTCCCAGTGATCTCCATTATTGAGCAAACATTCTCTACCTTGTTTGTGTTACTGTCTTCACCTGTTCTTAAATTTTGTAGGTGAACTATGAAGCAAGTGGTTGGGTGGCTCATCAAGTGTCCGACATCTGGGCGAAAAGCTCTCCGGATCGGGGACAGGCTGTTTGGGCTTTATGGCCAATGGGTGGAGCATGGCTTTGTACCCATCTGTGGGAGCATTATACTTACACCATGGACAAAGTAAGTTCCTGCTTGCTTGGCTGTCCTTTTTACAGTGCTTAGTTTGAGCGGATGTTTTTTTATGCTAAAACATGATGGGTTTCTTTCATATCTTCAAGAGTAGTGATTGAACATAGAATCAAATAAATTACTTAGTCACCTCCAAATGAAAATTTCTTTGTCTAATTTCTTATATAATTCTGTCCACGTTCAGCAATTCTTGAAAAACAAGGCATATCCTCTGATGGAAGGATGCGCATCGTTTCTGTTGGATTGGCTAATCGAAGGCAAGGACGGATATTTGGAAACAAATCCATCAACTTCCCCAGAACACATGTTTATAGCTCCTGATAGTAAACCTGCTAGTGTGAGTTACTCATCAACAATGGATATGGCTATCATCAAAGAGGTTTTCTCATCCATCATATCTGCTGCAGAGGTAAAGCTTTTTTGTTTGCTTGTGAACGGAAACTTACTTCGTCTACTGGATGCGGTTGTTTACAATTTTAAATTTACCTTGTTGAACAGATTCTGGGAAAAAGCAAGGATACTTTTATCGAAAAGGTCCAGAAGGCTCAAGCTAGGCTGTTACCTTATAAAATATCTAAAGATGGTTCTCTTATGGAATGGGTATGTAAGTATCTCCTCTCTTAACCGGAAATGTTCTAGAGTTATCTAGACTGCCCTAACTCGGAATTTCTTGGATTAGGCTCTTGACTTTGAGGACCAAGAAGTGCATCATCGACATGTATCGCACCTGTTCGGGCTGTATCCAGGGCATACTGTAACTGTTGAGAAAACTCCCAACATCTCGGTAGCTGCAGATAATACTCTTCATAAGAGAGGTTTCTATCTATTGACCAACTTCTAGGAATTTTCTTCTACTTTAGGCTTTAATAGACATTGGGGTGCAAAAATATTCACGTGTGCTAATTATGTTGTGCCAATGTAATAATACTTTATGAGCATGATTAACTGAATCCAATTACTACTCTGATCAAATGAAGAAATGAATCAACCACAAATCAGTTAAATTTCTGATAAGATAAAACTTGGTTTGATAATTGCATGAAGCAATGGTGCTCATAGACCTTCTCACGTGAAACAGGAGAGGAAGGTCCGGGATGGTCGACCGCATGGAAAATTGCTCTATGGGCTCGTCTTCAGAACAGCGAGCATGCGTACCGAATGGTCAAGCATTTGTTCGATCTCGTGGACCCTGATCATGAAAGTGATTATGAAGGTGGTCTGTACAGCAACTTGTTCACTGCCCACCCTCCTTTCCAAATAGATGCCAACTTTGGGTAAGCTACATAATTTAGAGGATATTCACTTCTCTTATTGTGAATGGAACTTTCCAATGAAAGCTATTTAGAATCCAAATAAGTCAATAACCAAAGAAATCAATCTGATCAATTAGTTTTTAATGCTTTTTCTTCTCTTGGGTGCTGCTGGCCTATCAGATTCTCAGCTGCCATAGCCGAAATGCTTGTTCAGAGCACCGTGAATGATCTGTACTTGCTTCCTGCTCTTCCCCGCGATATCTGGCCGTATGGTTGTGTTAGAGGACTAAAGGCGCGGGGTGGGTTGACAGTAAACATCTGCTGGACGGGAGGAGATCTTGACGAAGTCGGTCTTTTGTCGTCGGAGCAAATTTCCCTTGCAAGATTACACTACGGAGGGACTACAGTGGCAGCAAATTTATCATCTGGCAAAGTCTACACTTTCAATAGGCTGTTGAAATGCATCAGAACGTACTCTCTCCCAAATTGATTCTCCTTCTCCACAGCCACCAATGGCTTTTGAAATCTTCAAGTGGTTCTTTGATTCTTTCAGAACCTGAAAGGCGCCATCTCCAAGACAACAATTTCGTTTTGTTATTTATACAATGATTGTCCACCAATTATTTGTAATATTTTACTATTTAATATTTATAATGAAATGAAAATCTTCTTCATCATGTAATGGATGTATTAGTTAGTTAAACTATATATATGAGGGCAAGATTTCGACCCTTCGACACGGATCGAGGATTTATAGGAAATCTAAGTCAATTAAAAAAATACGTCAATTTGAGTCTAATTCATAAATAAGACACCAATTTACTGACATTTGATTGTTCGATTTCTAACTTCCTTAAATTCACTTATCGCTTCTCATTTAACTATTGTTTGCTATCCTCCTTCGAGAAGGGTCATGCCATATTGTGTTCGTCGTGTCATTTTTTTCTCTTTAATTTAGCCTCTATAGTTTAAAAATTTATAATTTTATGCCATCTCGAGCATGACTATGACTAAAAGCTAATGAGTTTGAATCTCTTCGATATATTATATTGAAAGAAAATTACAATTTTACCCATTATATTTTAACATTTTTCACTTGTATCACTTTACTGGTAGATATTAATTGATCATTCATGTTCCCGAATTCTCATTTAAATGCCAGGCAAGGTAAGGTTATCATTACCAGAATTCAGAGACATCATATTAGATTAGACCGTCTGATTTCGATCGTACGGTTGATATTGGGTGAGGTGCATTAAATTCCATACACATTCAACACATCATAGCAACCCCTCGCAAGGGTTTGTACCCTCGTAAAACCCTTGTTTTCAGTGCTACACTTGGTCGAAAGGCTGAATTTTTGATCAAACGAACGAAGAGCTGCACCTGTTTCAAATGGCGTGTCGCTCTGGATCTCTGTCTCGCTCCCTAATTTCCACTGTTAGGGCTTCTTCTCTCCGATCGGCTCCTTCTCTTCCTCGCCTCCGCCCCCCACCTCTCGCCGCTCGTCCTCGCCTTCAATCTCGTCGACTCTCCTTTTCAACTTCCAGGTACTTCACGAGTTTCTAAATTTTCTGTTTGGTTTCCGTGCGAAACGAGTTGATGAATGAATTACTTGGGAATTGGGATAGGATTGGAATGCTGTTGAATTGTAGTTTGTATGATGCCAGATTCCTGTTTCGTTCGTCGTTTTGATTTTCTTCAAGGATGTCTCTCGTCGTTTTGGGGGCTTTCTGTTTTATAATCGCTTAGCATATGGGTTTTAGTTCCGTTTTGTATTGTTTATTTCTATCATTTTAAGTCAGTAACTAGCATTTGTTTATTGGTTTGCTTAATTCAGTTTATATTATGATAAATTTCATGGATTTAAATACTGTGAGCTTTAACGAAGCTTTTTTTAATATTTGAAATTAGTTATACTGCTTATTACTTCTTTTTTTATGAGTAATTAATTTCATTGATTGATAAGATTTAGGTTAAATTGCATTTTAGCACCAATGTTTTTGCTTTAAATTCAATTTTGTCTTCATAGTTTTAAAAGGTTTCATTGTTGCCCAGGAGCAACAAAAATTTTAAGCTATAAGTTCAATCCGTAACCTTGGGTCTTTTTAAGTTGATTCAATTGTGAAATAAATGAAATATCTTGCACTAGAAAATGAATGGAAATTATTCGTTACACTTCAGGGCAAATTTGTCCTAGCCATTTTTTTGCTTTCTAGTCAAAACAATGTCTTAAAAATTTTATTTTTTTTGATAAGAAACATACATGATGTATTCCAATCAAAAGAAAGTAACAGCCTAAAGGCAGAGGGTTGAGAAAACCCCCCTAAGAACTATACAATCACAGCTTTCCAATCCCGTATAATCATTTGAAGACTATAATTACAAAACACCTTCTTGTGAATGATAGCCCACCAAGAAGCCGTTTGTTGTATATTCACACCACGAGAATCCACCGATGACTTCTTATCTTCAAAAAGTCTCCTATTCCTTTCTCTCCACAAAAGCCAAAGTAAAAAAATTGATTCTATTCTTTCAATCTCGACGATTGCTCAACGATTGAATAATAATAGGTTATTATGATTTCGAGAAAGCCGCCATGGTGAAATCGGTAGACACGCCACCGGGCCGTGAAGCTTATCCGGGGGATATAGAAATGCGCACTTTTGGAACTACCATTAAAAAATTATAATAGATTATTCATTGCTATGCTCTATCAGCACAATTCCATAGGATGAAAACTTTACCCTTTAGAGCCTTCCCCCCAAAACCTTATGAAATAAAATCATCCATCTTTTGGGGGAGACAAAAAGACACTCCCAAAATGGAAGCGAAGTGAAACCACACTGAAGAAGCCACCTGACAATGGAGGAAAAGATGATCTAAAGTCTCAGAATCCTTGCAACACAACGTACACACTGAAGGAGAAAGTGTCCAAAGGGGAAGTTTACGCTGAAGTTTGTCGGCTGTATTTATCCTTCGATAGAACACCGACCACAAAAACACTTTAACTTTCATAGGAATCTTAAAGTTTCAAATATGGAACGAAGTGGAAGTATTCATCTTTGGTGAAGGGGAAGTCAGGGCCAAAAATGCTGATTTAGTTGAAAAAGTCAGGGCCAACAATGTCTTAAAATCCAAATGTAATTTATCACATCTAAATGAATGTGATATCATGGAGCTCATTTTTAAATACCCACGTTGGATCTTTGTTACTCTTCACCAATGACATAGATGCTTGGTAAACATTAATCAAAAGATAGGGACGATAATGAGATTTTATGAGTACAGGGACTGAATTGAAACTAAGGTTAAACATAAAAATTAAAATGTAATTTAACCTAAAGATTATAAATGGGAGACAAAACACTTAGGAGCTTCCTTAAAGGTGCCTTAGTTAATGTAGGAAGGAGTGGAGTTACAAAAAGATTTTAAGCTAGAGCTCCAGAGAGAAGCAGACGAACAAATATTCTCCCAAATTGAAGAAATATTTTTCCTCAACTCTGCTAAGCTTAAAGTTTTTCAATCACATTAAAGGGAACCTCAGCAAGCATTTCCAATGTATTCTAATTTCCAACTTCCAAGAGTCTCCCCCTTATTCCATCTGTTGATTGGCGAATTTCTCACATTATTTCTTTTTATTATTTGATCAGAAACAATTTTATTGATAGCATGCAATTACAGAGAGGGGCAAATCACAATTCCATTGATAACAATTTCATTATTACTTATTATTACGACTCTCTTATAATCAACCTTGATGGGGATGTCCTTACTGTAGTCCTTTATGGCAGGGGTTTCCTCTTCCCACGCCCCTAGGATGTTTCTTCTCTGCTCTTCTTGTTTATAATGCACTAATGCAGTTTCCTACATGTGTGTGTATATATATATATGTATAAACCTTCTCTCTCTAATATTCACTTTATGGTGCGCACAATGCTCTGGATTTCTTTAATGAGTTACAGGCATGATTTTTGTTTGTTTCAAATCGTCCTCTCCAGGAATTTGGGAGAACTGGGATGTACACAGTCTCTTCTGCCCATGCACGGCATCATGGGTGCTACCTGCCTGACATCCCACCTCTGTGTTAGCGCACGGGCCTTTTGCGAGCTGTCTCATGGTACCTTCTGCCGTACTTGTCAGGATCGCTAGTATCCTCTTTGTGAGTCTTGTTTACAAGAAAGATAAAAAAACATATAGTAAATGTTTCTTCATGAGGTCATTATTCAGTGTGACCATCTTTGTAATCATGATGTCATAACATCTCAACAAATTTTTGTGTTTGGATATATGATGTGGCATAACTTAGGCAGTTATTTTTATACCATTAAAATGTCATTTAATAAGAAGAAATTGGGATTGGGATTGATAGGGAGGAATGGAAAAGATGGGTGATGCACGAGGACATTCTATCATTCAAAAGCAGGAGACTGTCGCAAAATTTGTAGGTCCCCTTTTTTGGCTTTTTGATTCATTTTCACTTTCTAGTAGTGATTTTTTGTGTATTTTCTAAACTTCATAAACAACTTCAGATTTTTAAAGTGGTGATGGTGAGTATATGCAGTTAAGGTGGGTAAGGAGGAGAGAGACACATCTATGGGAAGGAAGGAAGAGGGTGTTTGTTCCTGTTTAATGAACAAACTTCTTTTAGTTGTCAATTTCTTTAATTCCTATAATGGAGAAAGTGAAGAAATATTGAGGTGTGAAAGAGTGAGCCAGATAACTCGCTCGGCTTAAATTCTCTTAGAAGAATGCATTTGAGGTTGATGTGGGAATACATCTTTTTTAAGGGTCCTTATCAAGGATGATGTTCAAGTTCAAAGCTTCTGCCATGATGATAGTGCTTCATCTCTGTCACGCATAAAGCTTTTGAGCTGACCTTTCTCGATTTTAATATCTTCTTGGTATGTGTGTGGGTATTTCTTGTGGCAGTCATTATATATGAGATACAACAAGTCTTTAATTACATGTGGTGTATTATATATATATATGATAAGAAGCAAGACTTTCATTATATAATGGACTTGTAGCACGACATTTTCTGTGAATGGTATTCTTGTGCAATGTGTATCTTTCAGAGTTATGAGGCATTTCGTCAGCGAACAAGCATAGTCTAAATACAAAGAAGTTGAATTAAAATTGAATGATGCTCTTGTGTTATCGAGTTCTTATGCGTTTGCTTTTTGTTTTACATTGCAGGTACTTGAGTGATCTACAGTAGAAGCATTCATGCGGACAATTCTATGTGAAGGGAAGTTGAGTAGAGAGGGTTTCTGGTAACTTTTATTAGGTAGGTTAATGTAATAAAATTTTTCTAGCTGTTAATTTATGGAATTCATCCTATTTTTCCACACAGTACTCGGCTTGCCTACAAGTTCCCTAAAGTTAACATCGTCGATTATCTAACCTGCTTTTCTTTTTTGTTGGCTGAATTTTGTAACTATTATCTTCATTTATACTTCCATTCCATTTCCAGTTGCTGGATTTAGAATCACTTTATGATGTTCATGTTTCTATTAGCTTTCTCAACGCCTTATATATCTGGACACAACTCTACAAAGAGTAACGATAATCCATTTCCTATGTATATTTTTACGCATATCAATGCTTGCATATAATGAATATTGTGATGTAGAGAATTATGATACTTTCACTTTCCATATGTCCAATTGTGAGTGAATTATATTCCCTCATCGGACATAAACTTTTCAACAACCAATTAGAATGAAGCGTGTCACAGCTTTGAATGTAACAGTTCAAATAATGGACACGAACTAGAATCCTTGATGCTTCCTAAATGCTTGTCTGTATTCAGCTTTGAAGGTGTGAAAATGAGGTTGGTGTTGAAGTGAGTGGCTGTTGTAGCTCAGCTCTTATTTGAAATCCATGTTGTAGGTGGGAGCTCAACAACAACAGCCACATGGGGTGCCAATGGTGATTTGATTGACACTAACATATCATGTTTGTAAAGCCAGGTTTATGGTTTATGGTTTAGGTTTTCATTTGGTCCACAATGCAATGGAATTCATGGCTGCTTGCAGGAGCATTTGGAGATCTTTGTTGATTTTTATGGCCCATAGCCTAAGCTTAGCTGGTGTTGTTCCCTGTAACTGGAATGGCCCTCCCTGCTTCTTCCTCTCATAAAATACTTGTTAGGGAACCTGAAATACTACCTGCAATTCAACAATGGGGGACCTCCAACCCCCATGACTCACTATTCCTTCCAACCCCCACAATGGAACTTGATTGGAAATGTTAACAGCACGAGGACGGAGATGGTCTCTCGAGTATCGTTCTCTCTCTGACCCCATTGAAAAATTTGTATCTTTGTTTGCAGCGAGCGTTCTTGATGAATGGGGTGAGTTCGAAGATTCCTTGCTTGGGGTTTGGGATCTTCTTTAGAGAATTTTTTGATGTTTTATTTTAGTTTCGATTCTTTTAAACGTTGAAGTAACTAAATCTTTAGCTGGTACATAAAAAGTGAGCAACTTTTGGGTTAAAAAATAATTAATATTTGGTTAAGTTACAAGTTTAGTCGAGCTTTTAGGTTTGGTTTGCATCTAATAGGTTGTTAACTTTTAAAAAGTGTCTAATAATCTATAAAACTTTTAATTTTGTGTTTATTAAGTCGTCGAATTTCAAAAGTGTCCAAATAAGTCTCTAAAGTTTTAATTTTGTGTTTGGTAGATCTTTAAATTTTCAAATTTTTATTTAATAAATTTTTTGCTTAATATGTACAAAATTGACAGTTGAATGTCCTATTAAACAAAATTTTATGTCTCATAGATCTATTAATTTTAAAACATGTCAAATACGTTATAGATCTATTAGGTACATTATTAAAAATTTAAGGTACTGCTCTAAAGGGATCTACGAAACATGAATAAGTTGGAGTAAACTTTAATATCTTTACCTAAAAGGACTTAAATGGCAGGAAGGATGTAGAGATATTTGAATCACAAATGGAGAAATTTTTTTTTTTTCAACTTTTTTTTTCTTCTATCAGGATTGTAGGTCTAATACGGACTGTTCTGAACCCCAGTTAGAAAGTAAGTGCACTTAAAAAAGTAGAGAAAATCCACTTGGACTATCTTTTGCTTCCATGATCATCTTTTCATTTACAAATACCTTTACTTCAAGCTGAGTTGCTATATCGTCATCAATAGTCATCTATATTATGAGTGTTCACAAAATTCGTAGACTCGAAAAATTGAATCAATTCAATCCAACCATGGGTAGGATGATAAATTTGTTGAAGTTGGATTATATTCAAATAAATGAAAACTCTATTGGCTGAGTTGGTTTAAAGTTCGTCCTAGTAAATTTGAATTAAACCAAACCATCCCAAATTTATTATTACTTTTAAAATTATTTCTTTTACTCACTATAAAATTATATATTGACAAATCTATTTTAATTTTATTTCATTCAATAATTCTAAGACAAATCTGTTTTAATTTTATTTCATTCCATAATTCTTTATAGATTATTTAGTCTCCAAAATTTAAAATTTTTCTCATAAATGATTGATATGAGATTTATTGTTAGAAAATATGTAGCCAAATGTTTAAGATATTAACATTTATTTTTTCATTATACAATATTTTGAACAAGTGACTCAAATAATTCAAACTAAATAAACTAAATATTTTATGTTTGTGTTTAGTTCATTATTTAACCAGAAATGTTTGAGTTGAATAAACTTACCATCCAAACAATTGGGTTCGATCTAAAAAGTATTTCAACCCAACTCAATTCATGAACACCCGAAAACCAAGCTTTCCATATCCAGATCATGATTTGAATTGGATCGTTTACAAATAAATAATGTAACGTTGAAATAATACAATTATGTGTTCATTGATAAGGGTGGCTGCAAAGCTTCCCTTAGAACTTTAAACTATAATTTAATATAGATTAAAGCAAAGTAGAATCCAACCTTCTTTCAATTAGTAGGCATAGGCAATCTAGTTAGTTGTATCTACTTTCACCTACATTGCCTTTAATTTTCACCTTCACTCATTAATTAAACTAAATATAATGTACGCACCAATCATTAATTCAAATCTTCAACTATACCATATTTTGTTCTCTATAGATAACATTATTAACCTTAAAGAATTAACTAACTCCAGGTTTTAGTCAGTTCACTCTCCAAGACACTAAATAAATCAAACATAATTAGACAAAATTAGTGAGTTCTTGGAGTGTAAACATTTCTATGTCTCCTTCCTCTCTCTTCTCTCTAAGAGACAGAGAGAGAAAGATCCTGTCTTCTTAGCTTAAAGTTCTGCAGACAAGAGAACATGAATAAGTACTTCCAATTTCCTGTCCAAATTAATCACTAACTTGTAATAATAATAATAATAAAAAGAAAACAACAGCAGATCCCTGCAATGAAGACAAACTTCAATCCAAGGTAATCCATATTGAATAAAAAAAGGGTAAAAGAGTGGAAGAAAGAAACACTTTCCTTTTCTTATCCCTTCCGCCGCCCCCCTAAAAATATAAACAAAGAAATAATAATAATATGTAATAGCAACCCATCCAATCAGATATTATTTTGACACATTGCAATTCACTTGTCCATGTTATCAGCCAAAAGACCATCTTTTCTTGGTGGGGTACCATCATTTTTCATGAGATCATAATGAAAAGAAAGAACTTATTAGCAATGTATTCAGGGTGGTTCTTGAGTGGCTTTCCCCTGCAGAAGTCATGTGATTGGCCAAGAGAAAGGGGTTAGGCTGAAAATGCTAAATGGATGAATAATAATAATCAGATAATATGATAAAACTAACTCATCATTATCCTAATCATGTACAATTTGGTCAGGATGCAAAGCCATCTGTCTAATAAAGATGTTTAAACCACTATTATCTACTTTGTGTGATGCTTCTTCTCACAACTTTTACTTATTCTCTCTTTTGCCAAGCAGAATGAAGACCCAAAACAAATCACTCAAGTGTAGATATGTATTGCAAACATCAGCCTAGTAAAGAATCCCACAAAAGTAGTTCTAAAAGTGATTCGTTTACTTGTGTTGGATAAGAAGCACTCCTTGGTTGCATTGGAAGGACAATTCAAATAGATTGTTAGATTGTGACTTTCAGTGATATTGATGTTGCTGTTTTGTACGACTTTCAATCATGTATTTTTCTCAAAGTTTTCCAAAAGAAGTTTTGTGTAAGGTCGGTATATTACTCCTAAAGGTGTGGCTAAGACCGCAGCAACAGAAAGACATGAAAATGAAGATTATCTTGAGTTTGGATATTGACCAGTCTTTCTACACGTCAAGTATTTCTGTGGGGCTGAAGCAAATAATTGAAGTGATCTTGAATTCAAACTTTGACAATCCTCGTGAGTTTATACATTTTTATGAGGTTTCACATATACAGAAACTTTTTTTCACAACCATGTGGGTCAAAGAAGTTATGCACTTCTCACCCAATCACACAAAACATACTATCTAATTTAAAATTTTTAGCATCGAAAAATTGATGGAATATTCACTATCTTAGCTTTAAAGATATCTAAATCTAAAACTTACTTGATCACTTTGATCACTAGCCCTGCAATGATTCAGTGGAGGCAAATAATTGAAGACCTTGAATATGTGATTTTCTAAAAGCATCTCCAACGTAAAAAAGTGGTATAATATGGGGAGGGTATTAAGAAATTAGGGAAGGGAAAGATTGATGGAAGTGGGGAATCCTTTAGTTTGATAGGGAAATAGTATACATGACATAAGCATTGTCCACTGGACCACTAATGGTCGGGAGGAGAATGAAGATAAGAAATGCAAAAACATATATACCAAAACTTACCCTTTCATTCTCATACCTTTCTCAGGATTTGTTCATCTGGGAAGACCAGGAAGGATCAATCTGCTGACCATCCCCGCTGCTTCAGTTTCAGAGATAGATAAAGAATCAGCAACCCCTGTCCATTTTTTAGTTCAATATCATCGCTACTCAGTTTGGAATCTGGGTTTGCAATGATCTTTCAAGGAGAACAAATAGAACCGTTGATAGACAACAAAGGACAGGGTGACTCAATTGAAGAAGAAGTAGCAAGAGACCAACCTGATGGTGGTGTAGGAACCTTGGAGTGGCTGAGCTTGTCCCTGGGTAGCAACAAACAGCTTTTAACTGAATCACAAAGATCTGCTGCAGCTTCAGCCAAGACCTTTTCATGCAACTTCTGTAAGAGGGTATTCTACAGTTCCCAGGCATTGGGAGGCCACCAAAATGCCCACAAGAGGGAGAGAAGTGCAGCCAGAAGGCACCAGGCCCAGAGAATGATGACTTTGCTTGGTCTGCCAATCCATAATTCTATGATTAGATCACTTGGTGTTCAGCCACATTCACTTGTGCACAAACCAGGCAGGGAAGATACTGCAATAGTAGCAAGATTTAATCACGTCAAGACTGGTTCATGGACACCTTTCATGCTGGGGGATGCCATGGATTTGATGTGGCCAGGAAGCTTCCGCTTCACTCAACATCAAATTCTCCCAGAGCCACCCCCAGAAACACCATCTGAACCATTCATGCTCGACCTTAATCTCCGACTTTAATTCTTGTATCTGTCTGTCATAGTAATCTCAAGTCGTCTTCTTCATTCCTATAATTTCGAAAGCCGAATAGCTTGTTCATATACCAAGTACATGACTAACTTTAGTGGAAATGCTAGAATAGCTTGTTCATATACCAAGTACATGACTAACTTTAGTGGAAATGCTAGATTCCTACGTCAAACCAGAAAGTGCACCATTAATATTACATCTCTTCTGCTTGTTGAAACACAAGAGGCCTGATTTGTTTCAACCGTAGGTACAGTATCTAATATATCAGACTACGTAGGCTGTAAGGAGGAAGAAGAAAAGATAAATAATTATTCAAAACTTTAAAATTCTGTCTTCTGTCGCCTCTTCATGTGGTTCCCCATTGGGGAGAAATGCCCCATATACATTTCAGTGCTCAATCACAGGCCACCCAGAGCTCCAGCCTCCAGTACAAGTTCCACCCACATGGAAGAGGAATTGATACTAATTTGAGTCGTTTAACATTTTACATCACTTTTACTCATCCGAATTGATAAAAATAGGGCCCAACTGCAGGAGATATGACTGCTTTCAGCTAGTAAATGAACTACATTCGACATTAGAGTCAACAATTCGATTCCGCAGAACCTAAGTTTACATTTCATAACACAATTAATTGCAAAAAGTTTCACTGAGCATGATGGCACTAGAATAATTTGCTCGACAAGTGCTGGATCAAAGAGCCAAAGAGATCTCAAAATTAGACTTGAGAACAATGTGCATCATAAGTGATCGTATCTGCAGCAAAGCTTGCCCCTCGAGAAGGAAACTTTGAAGCTGAAGGGTGCTTTGTAGCTCTATTGTCTTTTTGCTTCTTTCTTGTTCTTTTTTTCTTTCCTTCTTCGGGGGGTGTTCAAGCTTAGATCCATGCAGCGCATTGAAGCAATGGACTACTTCCAGCTGAAATGAATTCACAGGTAACCTTAAACTGAAAAAAGCAAAGTTGTTTAACAGAACTATCTCCGCAATTAATGTATAGCCAGCTACTGATTGTTACACATATCATGAGAAGGGTCGGATGGAGACAGGCATTAATTTGCAAATTCAAATAAATATCTAACAAACAAGCTCTAGATTTAGGTAACTCATACTAAGCATTTGTGTGTAAGGGATTAGGAGGAATGTTAATGTGATAACAAAGAACTACAAACAATTGGGATTGTTCTTGGAATTACCTCCCTTCAAACAATACCAGTATCTGATCTAATGTGTTTCCTGGAAGAGGGTAAATAGCCGGATAATTTTCCTGGAAGGATCAAAACTTCAAAACCTAAATGGATCTCCTCCTCCTTGTCCTAACCTTATCCGCTGTTTGTATTTGATTAACTTTTGGTGACTTAGCAGGAGGCTTTTGTGATTCCTTTCTGTCCTTTGAATGTGATGCCACATGATCTGACCTGCCCTTCCGTTTTCTGGATTTTGTAGCAGTAGATTCTGGTCTAGTAGTTTTCTGAGTCGCCAATTTGTCATCCCTTGTATCTCCACTCTGACATGGGGCCACAGCACCATCTGTGTTTGGTGATACTTGGTGTTGAGCACCATTGTTATCGGTGTCTCTGAAACATGCACCAGATTCTTGCTCAGGCTTGGGCAGCTTTCCACTCGTCTCAGATGACTGAATCCCCATTCTTAAAGCACTCTTTGCTTTATTGGATTCAATGCTTGAAGGATGGCGTGTGCTCCATCGTGTGTTCTCAAACCATTTGCTAACCTAATAATGGAATAAATAAATGAGCCCAAGTTCTTTCACTAAAGTAGAAATGTTAGCTAAACTTCCAAGGAACCCAATGCATAACCTGCTTCAGACTGAGTCCTAGTTCTTGTGCCAAACTCTCTTTTGTAGCTCGTTTAGGATACTGATTTTCTTGGAACGATGCAAGAAGTCTCTGGAACGTTTGCAACAATATTAAGAACATGTAATGGCATTAAATTAATAATTATTAATGTTTGTCCCATTAAAATGTTGGACCTGCAGATTAAAAAAGTTGATCTTTCACAGTTAATTGTATACACTCTTTTTCCCACAATAGAGAAATAAAGACCTCCTTGTCTCCTTTCCGTCCTATATGTGTGGCCTTCTTACTCAAAACTAACTATTTTGTACTTCTTAAGGAAATCATAACCATGTTCCAAATTCTAAGGCCCGTTTGTTTAAAAAACCAAGTCAACCATACAAGCATTTGGAGAAACTGACATTTCACAATAAAGCATCTAAAGAAGATGAAGGGTTTCGATAACTAATGAACCTAACAATGTCATGGAAGCTGATAAATTATAGACCTATAGTAAAGCATCCAAGTTGAAAGTTAAAACCAAGAGTGTGCTCTTCAAATAAATAGTTCAAAATTGTTACTGCCTGTTGCAAAAAAAAATTAGAAAAGAAAACCAGGAAACATAAAGAGCAAAAATGCTCAAAATCATTTGCAATAATCAAGAAAAATCTTGATTCAAACCCAAAAAGGAATAGCATTTTAATATAAATTAACACATGACAGTTCAATTTCATAAATATAACTGACCTAATGAGAGAATTTAAACTCATAACACGAGATTCAGTCTGAAACTCTTTGAATTTTTATGGGATAGAGGATGAGAGACAGAAGAAAGCTGTTTGAGGGTCTCAGCATTTATGAGACCACTCGACCAGATTCAGAGTTGACATTCATAATGACACATTTAATTTAATAAGAAATTTTGAAACAACAAATCTAACAGATCGCATAGTTAACATTAGGTAACACCAATATTCATCTGCTTTGCCACAATATAAGTCTTTAAGCACCAGAGTGTGCATTCTTAAATATGTTAGCAAGATCAGAGAAATCTTAAAATAAGACCTTATGTCACAACCCCACCCTAAAAAAACGGGGATAGAAAGAAAGGAAAAGAAAAACACAGATGCACGAGAAATAAGATAAAGTAAGGAAAAAAGAAATCCCAGTTCAAACAAAAGGGGAAAATAAAATAACCTATTTTAAGGAGATAATGTTTGGGAATCATAACAGAGCTGAAAAATATAAAAAATACCTCCAACGCTGGTTGACTGAGTCTTCTATTTGATGATGACGCAGTTCGTCTAACAGAAGAACTAGATTTCACAGAGTCTTCAGGAGTCCTAGTCACAGAATTCTTCATATTTTCGGCACCTGGCTTTTGATGAGTTCTCCTCTTATAACTACGTTTAGTTTTTTTATTTTTCAAATCATCATTAGTTCCATTTAATGCAGGAACCAGGTTTTTAGGGCTTCTCTTCCTTGTTCTACTACCCCGACCTCTGTCATCGCTTGAATCAATAGAAATACTCCCGAATGTGTCATCGCTTGAGTCGGATGGAACATTCCCGTATGTCTCCTTCAAAAATGTAAAAGGGAAATAGTATAACTCATTTAGTCTGAAATGAGCTCTTTTGGATATTTAGAGCTTGTTTTATAGGAAATTTAATGCATAAGTACATTCACACTTGTTCTCACAAGACACATAAACATGTTGTACTAAAGCTACATAAATACATCTTGGAGGGGACAAGGCCAGTAGAAAAATTTTCCATTTTATTTTAATTTCAAAAAATAATTTAGAAGAAGAGGTTTATTTTTGAAGTGGTTCCTGAAGTTAAAAGTTCATTAAGTCTTTCGAAGGCTGGTTCCATGCAAGTGGGAGGTTTACCATGCTTGCAAATCCGACTTTTTCTAAAGCTTTTATTCAATGTTCTTGTTTGTCTTTTATCTTTCTTTTTATGTGGGGTTGTATTTCCCTCTTTGGGTTCTTGCTTTTTATTTTCTTCCCTCTCCCCCTTGGGAGATTGTATCATTTGAATAGTTTTTTTCCTTTTCATTGAATGAAAAGTTCGTATCTTGTTCAATAAAGAAGAAAAAAGAATGAGAAATCCTCTACTACTGATTTTATATTCTACAATCTAGCAAAAACCATAGAACACACTCTCACCTAGAAACTAAAAAAAATCACAGAAATAATATTATAGCAACCAAAGAAAGGGAATACTGCCTGATGTTTAATGCGACAACTAAAATAACAAAATTATGAATTTTAAGTCCCCAAGCTTTTACCTTTGAAGCTATTTGGCCTTCTAAGTTTCCAAATCTTAAGATCTAAATTATGAATTTTAAAATATAGGTCAAAATGGTTCTATTTCTTTTAGCTACAGAAATCTTGACATTTCTTTTAATTAATTTTATAATATTAATTATGCTGACATTTAGAAGAAATTTGAGATTTGGTGTCCAATTCTGTCTTCAATTAAGATCTGTTTTATGTTTAATCATTTTGGCGTTTAATGAAGTATATTAACTTTTTCCACAAAAGGAGTTAAAAAAAAAAATCATTAATTTTGTAGCACCGCATCTGCGTAACTAATATTGTAAAATATAAAACAAAATTTAAAAAGTGTCTTTGTCAACTTTTCATTTGTTAGCTAACAAAAAACTAAAGGCACGGACTATTTTGACCCATTTATGGAATTGTGATTTAAATAATAAATTTTAAATTTTACGAACCAAAGTTAAAGTTAAATGAGATTTTGCCTTTTTTTTTAATCATATACTACTGTCACAATAAATACAACTGTCAGCGAGAGGGAATATCTTTCTATCACAATAAAATACAAAGTAGCACACTGAAAATTATCAAAATAAAAGGTTGAGCCTAGTTTAACTAATTGATTAAAATATTAGTAACCTCCCTATCAAAGATTCAAAGTCTCACTCCTACATTTGAAAAGTTATTTTCTAAAAAGAAGCATATAAGAAGAATATGGTCAATCAACTATGTTTGCATATGGTAGAGACAGAATCACCTGCATACTTCAAAGACTAAATTAGAAAATAGCAATATAATTTATTATAAGAATAAAACATAGTGTGAAACATAAGAGAATACTCACATCATGCAGCTTCTTGTAATCCAACCGTTCCACCTGTCTTCTTCCTGAAACAGGTTCAAGACCATCCTTATCAGGACCTGACTCTAGAAGACTTTGTAACTCATTATGTAGTACACTCGTGCGAGGACCGCATCCAGAACCTTGCCCATTAGAGTTTCTCACAGGCGTAGTGCCATCATCAAGTGCAGCTAGATCCTCAGAATCAGATGTAAAGTCAGAACCTGAACTTTCCTGTTTAACACCTTCATCAAGTTCTGGAGCACCAGGTTCATAGTCATCATCCTCCGAGTCATCAGAAGGAAGACCTAAGTATTGGTCATCATTGGGTGCAGCCTCCAATTCCTCAGAAGCAGAAGCATACCCAGATTCATCAGAACTTGATTGATCAGAACTCGATTCATCTTCCTGGTTAATAGTGTCTGGAGCATCAGGATCATAATCACCATCTTCAGAATCATCTGAAGGAAGACCCAAGGCGTGATCAGAATTTTGCCCAGCAGCTGCTGCTGCAGCCTCAGGATAGACTTTCTGCACACAGTTAGAGGAAAATAACAAAAGAACAAACAACCAGAAAAGCACCTACTGAACAAATGTTGCAAATTTTTAATTACCTCCCAACCATCAGTAATAGAAAGATTTGATCCTTGAAATTCATTAAGCAGATCCAAGCAGTCATCTTTGCAATCACATCCAGGACATAGCCAGCCCTCATCATCCGGCGGAACTGTGAGAGTGAAGGAGGGAGCATGAATAAAAGTTACTTGAGAAACGCAAATCAACTTTTTAATTTTTAGTCCGTAGTAAGAATATTACTGTCTGTATTTAGCAAAGGTGGTTCTAAACAGAATTGGTGGAACCCACGATCACAAATACCATCACATAGTATGATGTCATTTTCAAGGGACAGTTCTTTGGATCCACATTTTGCACAGAATATCTGATACAAGGCCAGAAGTCCACAATATAGAAGTCATTTATCACAAAAACCAGATGCTCTAACAGAGTAGAAATTTATGGAGAATCAATCAAAAGATAACATCTAATAAAAATTCATCTTAAGAAAATATCTCCATACATCCTCACTGTCTATCTGTCCTTCAGAATCGAATAGAGACTCAGAAAGCCTTCCTTCAGCACAAAGTGAATCAAGATGTTGAAATAGATCTCTTATTTTCAATTTACCCCGCATTATTTCACTTGATGCTCGTTGAAGTTCCTTTTCAGGCTTCAATTTATCTGAGCTGCATGGTTATAGTGATGATCAGCAGATGACATGCTTTTCATTACAATCCAATATGATAGATGAAATGAAGAGATAAATAATCGTAGGAAACATTAATGGCTGAAACAAAAGGAAAAATTATAACAAAAAGGTCAAATCATATTGGTCCAAAAATATGGAGCACAGAAACTGTTATCCACTAATCCACTCCATAACAGAATGAATTAATAGAATTGCTTCTACCTTTTTTATCATTCAAATTATTTGTAGGTAGGAATTCTACAAGTTTGACTTAGTTAAAGCCATAAGAAGATCAAGTGAGCACTTGTACGTGATAGCTGCTGAAAATAAGAAAGACTATAAACAACGGTAGTAAACCCAAAAGCTAGAAAGTACATAAGCCGGTAAACCTGTAACAAGCCTTTACCCAGATCCATTGTCAAGCATGGGTTGGAGACCAGTAACAACCTTTTAAATCTAGTGTGCTGCGTAGTGTTTAGTTCCCTCGACATTTCAAGGAATACAAATACCAGAATTAAAATCAACGTAGGCGTGAACACAATGACCATCTTAAAAATAAAGTACTGCAAGAAAGTATCAGCACACAGTCAATTTAGAACCCATTAAAGAAGAAAATACATACCTGAACCCTTTCCAGCCTTCACTAGAATAAGCATCAATCAAGCTCTGTTCGTATTTGATGCGGTTCACTAAATATCTCAAACGATTCCTGATTGATGAAAATTCATCACCACTAGCTCCCTTTCCTTTTATATTTCTCTTCTTCTTCTTCCTTTTTCCCTCTCCGGCAGTCAACTTATTCAACTCATTACTTGGTTCAGGAGCTTTAGCTTTCTCTTGGGTCCTTGAACGCAAAACTCTGTCACTACTTACAAGGGACCTTAACATATAGTTTTTCTTTTTTGATTTCAAAATTTTCTTATCCTTGTGGCCCAACTGTTGGGAAATACTGACACTAGTTATGGGGACTGTTTCTAACCTTTGGATAGAAGTATTCTGGGTTAAATCTTCAATGGGAGGGTTCACCTGTTTGATAGAGTTTTTGTTGGCATCTTCTGGTGGAAGTTCAGAGCACTCATTAAGAGTTGTTGTCTCTAATTCAATAGGTAATATTAAATTTTCAGTTTCTATATCGCTGGATAATAAATTGCCAGCTTCAACTTGATCAATTTCAGCAAGCTTAGAGATAGTCTGATTATTCTTTTCCGGTAACTCACTAAGCACATCTCCAGAACCAAGTTCCTTAGTCTCTTCCTCCATATTCTGCTGGACCCCCGATTTTTCATCATCTGGACCAGCAGTTTTGCTGGTACATTCTGGAGTTGTTCCCAGTTCCTGATTGTCAGGTATTGAATGCATTTGTTCATTTGAAAAACAAGTTAGCACTTCAACACTGGCCTTGGCTTCTTGTACGGCTTCACAGTTATTATTAGGTCTTGGTTCTGTATATTCATGTCTCTCTTCCATTATTGTCCCCTAAGAATGTCTACTAATCTCCAGTTTGACTATTCCTATTCCTGCTTACATCAACTAGAGGTTGCTCAGACTTTAAGGCCAAATAATCAACCACATTTTTGTAAGATAATGTAGATTCTTGCTCATCACTTCTGGAGACTAAAAAGCCACTTCCTACTCAATCATTTTGGAAGTGCTTGACCCCAGGTGTGTTGATTAAATAATTATAACCTGTTCTAGTGTACAAAGTGCTGAATTTTCCTGAGACAACTTCAGAAGGTTGCTTTAATTGTCCCCTGCACGAACTTTTCCTTACTTTTCAGATACTGTTTTCAACTACTCATTAGCTAAGCAGGACGCTGTCATGGAGTTCATTTTTTCAACTTTTACAACTGCCATCGGATGGCAGTTTCTTTCTGGGCTGACTATTTACTCTGCATATATAAATGGACCACCTCAGCTTTCCTCACAGAACTCCTCCATGAACAATCAGTCTTGACTCTCTGGCACTGAAGAAACACCATGTGACCACCATCAGCCATCTTGAGTTGGTAAGGCTCTACTAATGACAAATAACAATATTGAAGCTTACCTTTTGCCTGGCACACTGGAGAATCACATACACCGTCTTAATTTTACTTAATCAAGTTAAGCCTCAATTTTTTAGTCACTTGATAACTGATATTTCAGGTATTTATTCATTAATGACAAAGTTGAAGTTTTAACATAGTTTTTATCAACAATAGAATACGCTTCCATAAGCAAATAAAGAAAAACTTCAAACCAAGTTAAAAAAAATTTACAAATAATTTCAAAATGTTTTCTTTGTCTTGTCAACTAGAGAAAAAATAGATTTCTATTTAACCTGGTTTAATAAATTACCAAATATTAAAATTTTATATTGGTATATTATATTAATAGCATACAAATGCGTAACTACAAAGACAATCATAGACTAAAAATAAGTAATTAAAATAAGCTAATTAAATGATTATTTATAAGAATAAGGTTTATTTACTCAAAATATACTTCTATTGAAGGAAATTTTCACATATAACCTAGCCGTTAGAACTGATAGAATTTTGTGATAGATTTAAAAATATATTCACAATAATAATAAAATCATAGGACCATTATCAATTCTCGAAATTCTTTATGACAACTACCTAAAAATTTGTTTTCATTAAGATAGAGAAAAACTTAAAAATAAAGTTCAACAAAAGAAATTATAAATATTGAAGAATATTCAATATATTGTTAGATTTTGCAAGAACAAATTCATAATATAATATTTACGCTTAAGCAATTGGAAACATGTATCAAAGGATGAAAATCTAGACACAACTTACAAATACCCAACACTACATTCAGTTTCTTTTGGTACAAAAGACTTAGCACGTGCTATTATCATTGTTGTTATCATTGTTATATTATTTTCACAGATATATCAGCATTAGTAAAAGGAATATCAGGAAACTCACAACAAACTCACTTACCTGCGGTTTGCACCGTAGTCATACAATGCAACATTTGAATAGTTTATCAAAAATGGGAAAAAAACAAAACAAGGAAAACAATGGATTCAACTAGTTATGCTATCAAGGCATATTTTTATGGTTAATTGTCAGCTTGCAGTCATGCAACGAAGCTTCTGAATAATAGGATGCACAACTTCTAAGAAAAGATAAAGATTCGAATAAACACACTAGGACAACTCTTTATTCTAAGGAATCCAAGGTTTTGATCATAATTTCAATAAATACTTGATCAGAATCATCTAAAGAGGGAATACCTAAGGTGCTAATCATCAAAACCTCGATTCTTGAAGCGTGAAAACACATGTTACGAACCAATTTGTTCATTTTTCAGTATTCATAGTGTCAATTCTCATCACAGATAATAGACAGCAAAATAGTCATCTAGTACTATCCAAATTGTGGTAATGGAATATATCACCATACTACAAATAATCCTAAACCGCTTCAACTGTAGGAACACATTAATTTCCATCATTTAAAAAAAAAAGTCCAAAAAAATATTCAGTGGAACTTGAAAAACGGAACGTGAATATAACATAAGTGTACTATTACCAGAAAACTCGTACTCCAACTCCAAAAATTTAAACCCATTACTTGAGATTAAAAGTGTTAAGAAATGCCGAACCATAGACTCAGCTCAGTTTGCACGTACTCCAACTCCAACCTCGGGAATTTGTACGTCCAAACTCACATATGACTTCAATTACGTGGAACTAAGCTCGACTACATGAAATCAAGATTTTAGCGATGAAATTATTCCAGTTAGCAGAGAAAGAAGGTTAGTCCGCGGCTGCGAACCAGCCTAGCTACAATTGAAGTTACGGTTCTTTCTCCAAAAGAAGAGAGAAGAAAACTGAAGAAACAAATGCAATTAAATTAAGGAGGTAAGCATTAGAAGAGAAGAAGAACGCAATGCATTAGCCTGGGAAACTTCATTTCCGTTCTCCCACCAATTCTCAAGAACCCAAGAAAATCTAGAAAAAGAAAAAGTAAAGGAAGCAGAGAGAAACACGAAAACATGGAAGGGGAAGGGAAGAAAGGAAAGAAAACCTACATGGAAGAGCTACCTGGTGTTGGTGAAGAGGAACCTGGTTTTGGATCTTGTTGGTGGCGTGAGTAAAATTTTGTCGATGGTTCTTCTTGTTGTTGTTGTTGCTGTTCTCGTCCTCAGCGCGAAGAGAGAATAAAGCGGCTTTGTCTCAGAGTCCTCCAAATCTGGGCCACCGTTACAAGCAGCTGCATTTCGGCCAGCCTTCACGCGCACCGTCTGCCTTCCGCTACCGCCGCACATATTGCGTGCGGGTGCGAGTGCGGGTGCGCGCCTCCAATTCTGCCCGGCCCATCGACCATCACTTAATTGGACCATTGCCCCCATCTAACTCGGCCCACTTTTAAATGGCCAGATAGCTTGGATGGGCCCAAATGGACTAGGTTACCATTTTAGCTTTTTTCAGTTAAATAGTTGCGAGGCGGGAAATTGAACTATCGATCTTCCGATGGGTAGTCTCATTAGCAAGGACATGAGGCCTTGTGGTATCACCTACCATGATACAGTATTCGAATCTTTGGGTGAGCTTAATACTAGAAACTCTTGATGCCTCTTGCGTTCGAGCGTTAGGAYAGGCGCAAGTGCCTTGGTTATAAGGATAAAGAGTTGAAGATCTATCAATTATGGTTATATAAATATATCAATTGTTCTTGTCCAAATCTTCACCTTTATGATAAAATTTGAAATATATCAATATTCATGAGGTTCTATCTGAAAATCAATTGGCCATGAGATGAGTAATAGATAAAAATTATAAAGATTGGTTAAATCTCTTATACTTTCAATATGGGATCCTTAACATGTCCCTCAAGATGGTGGCTTTTTTGGATTCATTAATTTTGGTCGGATCCCATTTTTGGATCGATGCTTATTTGAGTTTGTTGGGCTCAATATTCGTGGGGTTTCATCTCAAAGTCATTTAATCATGTTTAAGATGATATTATAGTAGGAGGTCCTATTTCGAATCCCTATATTGTCATTTCCTCCCCATTTAATATGAATTTCTACTTGTTGGGTCCTGTACAATTTTCCAAACCCACAAGTGAGAGGGAGTGTTGAGATATCTATATATGATTAAATTTATCCCAACCCACCAACTTAAGCTTTTGGGATCATCGGTGATTTAACCATATTTATTACAAGAGTCCACCAGTGAACATAAATTCTAGTATGATCTTTTCTCCAATTTACTTTACTTTCTTTTTTATGATTATATCATATAGCTTGTATGGACAGACGATCTCAGATCTACCAACCATTTGTGAGTTCCCAAATAGAAGAGGGATTGAGATGTAAAGATTTTAACTTTAGTACTTACATTTGCTTTTTAATCTAATTTGAGAGCATTGGGGAAGATAACAAGAAGAAGAGAATACAAAAGAAAAGTAAAATGTTTGGCATTGAAAAGGACTTGTATCTAATTGTTGCCGACAATGAAGTCTTTTCAAATAGCTTTATGAAGTCTAATGATGCCAAACCAGCAAGCAAAGATTTCTACCACCATTACCTAAAATCATTCCATTTTGGAAACCTTTGAACTTAGTTTTCCAAATTGCATGTATCCAACACTTCCCTCAACTCAACTTTAGATCCCTTCCACTTTAATGCCAAAAGAAAATTTCCAAATTGTCAATACCAAATTATCAGAAATCAATGCATTTGTTTACTTTCAGCTATTTATTAAGTCAATACTAAATGATTGTGTCTTTTACAGTTAACGCGCACCTCCTCCAATGCAATGCAGGTATTTATGAATATTATGTCTTGTTATATGTTGCTTTTGTATTTGGCTCAATGAGTCAATGAACTTGATCCTTAAAGTTTTAATTTCGTCGATGAATAAAATCGAGGGAATAATTAACTCCATTAATCAAATGCTTATTATCACTAATTTATGCTTGTTTTGGCAAGTCTGATTAGTGCTTAAACTGTAGCTTTAATTTCAAACGTTTTAGCAATGCTAAAGATGAAAATTGGGTAAAAGTTTGGTGACCAAAAACCTTGTTTTTACCAAAGTGAAAATAAGATTATCGAGACAAAATGATTGACACAAAAGTAAAAAAAAAAATGAAGTAGGGGTAATTAAAGGTTTAATAGATATGTCTTAGAATAAATTGACAAAACTAAATGACCCTAAAGTCTTTGGAGTGAAAAAGTTGGAAATTTTGAGAACAAGTAGGGTAGAGCAATAATGGAGCACATAAATAATCTTGTCCATTCTAAAATATCTAGTCAAAATCCTTGAATATTATTTTTACCAAACCCACATTAGTTGACTACAAAGTAAAATTATCTCAAGTCTTCTAAATAAAAGAAAAGTTGATCTTTTTGTTAATAGTAATAATTAATGTTTATTTATTGAGTAAAACATGTTGGACTACCAAGTTAACTGTTTCTTAAATGCTTTTTTTATGCATTTTTTAGAGGATTCTATATATTCCAATGAGCTAGCTAAATTTTTTTTTATATATATATAAAAAAAATCAACAATTTTTTCGGTTGAGTATCCTTAAATTTCATCGTGACTAACAATACTTATATTTAATATGAAATGTGACAGTCAACTTTTATAACATTAGATATATAAAATAAACTAACCATTTTCTTAGAACATACATCTACTTTAGTTATGGAAGTCATAGTTACGCTATGAATATCATATTGAATAATTTAACTTTATAATCTATTAAGGATTCCACACATTGAAAAGACAAAATATTGATATTGGTATCAGACTTCAACAAGCTCAATCGAGCATCCGGTCAAAAAAATTGGACCCGACTAAGATTGGTAAAGTCTAAAAAGTGTCACTATCTTGAGATGGATGTTAAAAAGCTGTCAAATGTTTATAATATACACGTTATACCTACAATACCAAATCCTAAATTTGGGGTGTTTTAAAAAATTCAACATGACTCAACTCAGCCCATGAAACACCTCTATATCCTAAATCGCGCCATACCCTAAACCCATGACATGTAAAGCTTTGAGTGATGTTGTCAATAATCCCCTCGAATTACTTACGAGATCGTTGCAACGATTTAGTGGAAAGTGCGACTGTAATGACTCTCACGATTGAAGTGCGGTTTTTGTCATTTTCCTTTTCGAAAAAAAAGCAAAGAAAAGTAGAAAGTAGGGGGGGGAAAAAAGGAGCCCACAGAGAGTGATAGAAAAGAAAGGGCAAAGAGCAAGAGCACGTGAAAATGGAAAAGAAAGGAAGCATCGTTGATGTTGTTGGGGTTCCCCCTTTTGTAGTGAAACCCTAATGATCCCTATTGCCTATTCAAACAATTGTTTCACGTGCAACTCTTCTTTTTCTCTTTTGTTTCTTTCTCTAATTTCTTAGGACTTTTTAAAACGTGTAATGGATTTTCACCTTCCTCCTACCTTCCTCCTCCCCCACACGTTTCTACCACTCTTTCAATCTTCATTAAGAAAAATAATAATCAAACCCACATGATTACTTTTAATTTTTGGATTAGAACATAGTTGTTAATTAAGATTCCATTCCTGGTTATGTCAAATAGGTTCTTGAACTTTTAAGATTGTGTGTTGTTGATGTTTATTTACAGGCGAGTTCTGTGTTAGTGTCATGTAGGTATCATTAACGCCTTCGTCTTCAAGGTCTCTATTGATTAGGGTTATGCTATTCTCCTTATATATAGAGAGATTTTTGTGTGAGACGGACACAGTGAGGTGGTATGCGAAACATCCGAGGTCCGTGGAAACCATGCATACCCCTCTTTTTTCCTTTGTGTCGCTGATGGGGGCCAGGTGTAGGGACATTCTAGGTGATCCTTTGAAGCATATCGTAGGGTGTCTGTACCATACCCACCTAGTTGTCTTTCTTACGCTTGCAATTTAATGGTTCTTCTTTCACCCGATCCACGCGTGTTTGATAGGCTTCTGGCACGTGACACCTCAGTTTTACCTGATATATATGTGTCTAATGGATCATTGAACTTTTTTTAAAAAACATAAAGTAAGTTTTAACTTTCAATTTTATATTTAATAGATCTTAAATTTTGAAAAGTTTCAAAAAGTGCTTTAACCTAGACTTATACACAAAATTGAAAGTTTGTTAAGAGATCCCTGTGAAACACTTGATAGTTTAGTGACTGCGCGCTTGTAATTTAATTTTGCATTTTTTTTAAATGTTTTGGAACTTTACACATAAAATCATTCTATTGTCACGTTTGCCGCCAACTGTTGGTATTATTGCGTTAGGAAGAAGTTTTGTGTGGGATAATATAAACTTTTATTCCAAGCCATTTTTATTAAACCTAGTTTCAAATTTGAAAATTGGTAATTTAGGATTTTTTTTAAATACAATACAAAAATTTTGAGTCCCCATCAAAACAAGTGTAGAGACAAAAGGTATACTTGTACATATTTCTCTTGGAATCTTTATCAAATTAAAG